AGTCAACGTGGTACAGCGTATAACGCTAATGGTAGGCAGTCCAGACCTGTTCAACGATTGTCGTTTCGACGTGAAAATAGTGGTGATCCAGATGCAAATCTGTCATCCTTTTACAGGTAAAATATGAAATTTTACGTTGAAAGATAAGCAAGGAACAGTGTGCGTTAGACTTTTTCCACTATGAGATGGTGAGTTGAACAAAATTTCCAGCAGGATCTAGTGGTCATGCGTTTTTACTTCTCACAGTATGATTTGGGCAACATTTAGCTTTATTTCATCTAATAATTTCAGCTGCCTTAGTTGAGCAATGTTTGCATTATGAAATTAGTGTTCTAAATCAGTTATCTTGCATACATTTTGCTTTTCTTCTTGATCTAGAGACCGATTTGGTAGTCATTCTCCAGAAGAATATATGAACCTTCGTTTTTCGCATTTTGACAACAAAATTACGAAAGACGAAATTAAAGATATTCTGGAGCGTGAATTTCGTCGATATGCTCCATTTGAGGTGAGCGAATGCTTCATTAACAGCCGAAAATTCGACTGAATGAGATCTTTATTGTTTATGCTTGTACATATGCCTATCAGAAATCTTTAAACATTGCTATTGTTCCACTTCAGTTTTTTTTCTTGTAATGCAAACTAATTTATAGATAAAAATAGTGCGTAATCCTGGTGACGAGCAGCGTCTTGCTTACGTAAATTTCGAACGTCCAGAGGCGGCACGAACAATTCGGCATACAATGTTACCAAGGTTGCAAAAATTGCTTGGAAAGAGACTTCATCTTGATCCTGCTGGGATAATCAGAGATCAAGAAGGAAAGTATATTCCCGATCGATATAATCGAGCGTTGCAAGCAGAACGGGAGCGTGAACGAAAGGATCCTCTTAGAAGGTAATACTCTTCGCGAAAGCGTTTGCAAAAAATGACTGTGTGAAGAGATGTTGTTTTTAGGAAATCTCCAAACAGACGTCGTGAGGATGGGGGAACATGGAATTTGAAAGAAGATGACAGTGATGCAACGAGAACGCTTTTTGTGGGAAATATGCCAGCAGATATACGGGAGTCAGAAATTCGTCGTGTTTTTGAGAAGTATGGAAAAGTTGAAGATGTTGATATCAAAACACCTCCAGAAACTAATGCAGCATATGCTTTCGTCCTTTTCCAGGTGGTACCGTTTATGCGATCAAATTTTACAAATTTTTTTAACGATTACGAAAGTAGTGTGCGGTGTTGAAAATAGTACTTAGTTATTTGATGCGTGGTATTTTGGACTTCAAAAAAGATTTATTGATGTAACCATCCATTAGCAGTTATATTGATTACGCGGTTATGGCTTTAGTGTTTTTGCAGACTTTGGAACAATCCATGAATGCAAAAGCCAATGAACATGATCGTCCAATACGACCAGGAACTACTCGTTGTAAAATCGGATATGGCAAATCACAGCCGTCAAATCGGTTATGGATCGGTGGGCTAGGACCGTGGACATCTGCAGAATATTTGGCTAAGGCATTTTTCTCAATTTCCGTTATATTTCATAATTAATCACATTTTCTAAATACTCTCAGCAATTCCATAACTGAGTTGTCTTTTGCATCTAACTATAACTGGATGAGTCTCAAATGTTCTAACCACGCGTTAGAGGCTATGACATGTCCTTTGAATATTCGAGTTTTACAAACCATCGCCAACTACAGTCATAAAGTGAGTTCAAAAGAAGTTGTGAAATGATTCTGATTTGTAGGAATTTGATCGATATGGACTTATTGATCGGTTAGATTATGAAGAAGGTGCTGACTTTGCGTATATACGGTTTACGGACCAGAATGCAGCAATGGATGCTTGCCGCGCCATGAAAGGTTTCCCACTGGGTGGAAGAGACCGATGCATCATCGTTGACTTTGCCAAGTTCGTGATTTCCCAAATTTGTTTGGGTCCTTTGTTCCAATTCTCACTTAATTATGAGAATTCGTAATTATGTATGAATATTTGTGCATAAAGTTTCATATTTGTAGAGATGATCAAAAAGAAGACCGTAAAAGGCGACGAAGCATGTCTGCCGGGTCGAGGAAACGCAACAAGGGTCCACGTACGCCACCTGAAAGTCCGTCAAGCACACCATCTGATGGTGAGATCGATACCATTGATGAGCTAGAGCGAAGAATTGCGCCAACTTGGCAAGGTTTCATTATCCTGAAGAAAACTGAATACGCGATTCGTTTGCACCGTATCTCGGGAACGGAGCATTTACTTCAGAAGTTACTTCGTGATCCGTCAGACGGTAGCGCATTGAAGCTGCATATTACTCAACGGTTGCCGTTAGTTAGTCAGGAGGCACTTGAAGAACGACTAATTCATTCATCAAAGAAGCAACTTAGCTTAATGATTGCTGTAGCATGTGATAAGCCCATTCGACCACTCGTTAATTATCTTTCCGAGAAAGATGCTGCCGGTGTTGTCACTGTACCTAGCGGTGTATTGTATGTTTTTGCTGCTAGTAACATGGCTGATCGGTTAATTCAGGCCTGCGCACGCAATATAACCTTATTGACACCTGAATGTGGCCATCTGTTATTTGCACTGGCCCTAAAGGCCTCACCTGATACTCCCAATGGGGGTTAATTCACCAGCTGTATTCTGTTCTACTTTTTTGATACCTACAACTGTTTTAGCTGTGACTCTGTCAAGTATCAGTTTTTCTTTGGTTTATTGCGTACAACGCTGTAATTATTTCAGCTTTCTCTTTATTTCTATATTTCTATTTTGGTAAGTTTCTATGTTGAGTACTTTCATATCTTGAACAAAGTTAACTGCGATCCTCGGTAGTTATTTAATAATAACTTCATAGTATACATTCAGTAAGCAAATTTGGTGCTTGAAGCAGTTGCATATTTTAGTTATATGATGCTTCAAATTTTAGATAGAGTTTTCTTAAGGTTATTCTTCTGCTTCAGTTTTGATCTGCAGATTTCATGATTGTGATCTTTTAGAAATAACATTTTTTGTATTTCAAAATTTGGCACTTCCTGGAATTTGAGACTTTAATAGGAGGAATGGAGAGTTTGATTATTAAAAATCAACTATTAATAGCTACGCAGTCTTTCTGATGATTTTTTGATAGCACGTAATGATTTTATGCAGTAGGTTTACCCTGTCCAATTCCAACTATAAAGTTAAAGTTTCAAAAATTAATCGCTATGAATATTGCTACATTGTGTTTAATCGATACTTATTCGTATACTCATTCATTCGTAATTTCATATGATTGTTTAATAATTTCTTGAGTTAGTATTATTCTTTCTGTTATATTTTTGAAAAATTTCGGTTCTAAATGACCGTAATGTTTTTTTGACAAGAATATTATGAAATTCTTTACTTTCGAAAAAAAGATTCGAAATACCTACTGATTTGCATATTTCATTCTCCGGCGTATGTACGGATTTATCCTGTTGCTAATAATTTACTTGACCAACAACAAATCTGTGTAATGGCAAGTTGAATTTCTGTCTGCTTCCGGACATCGTTAATTATGAAGTTTGCTTTTATTGTTATGCTGGCTAAAGTTCAATTCAAATGAGGTTTTGGAACATTTTATATTTCGAAAATCTATTCGTATATTTTACACGTACGTTTTTTCAAGGTCTTTCTGGATGACATCGTACTACCGTACTTGTTTGATTTGAATTCCGCTGTTATTTTGAGCAAACACTTTGTTACTATACATGCTGATATTCTGGAACAACGTGTTTTATATTTCGTAGTTTTGCCGTTCACATAAGGAAGGGTACGGATCAGGTTTGTTTGTGTTCATCATCAGCTAACTTTCTGGCAAGTGATTTTTTAATCCATCTTTTTTTCTTTTGATTTATTTTGTCGTTTTTGATACCGCCACTGCATTTGAATGCTTTTGCGTGATTCCATGCCGAAGTTGTTGAAATTTTCGCATATTTCAGTTGCTAATTTCAGTGTTTACAGAGTACAGAATTTCGATTGGTTAAACAATATTTCTCGGAATGACATACGAGCTAATTTTCATTACAAATTTACCTCTTTACTAAGATTTTTAGGAGTGGTTCAGATCTGAGAGTTCATCAGAGGTAAGTTATTCGTGTTACAGCCTTGCTGTCGTTGGACATCCTTCGGCATTCTTTTATGCCAGATATTTTCGAGTGTCTTATTAGTGTCTGTGAGGTATTTTACATCGCTAACGACTTATAGGTTTTTCCTGCACAGTTTTGTTCTGTTACGAACATAATTTTTGCTATGGAAATGTCCAAATTCATTTCAAGCTGATAGGAAGGATCTGAATATTGAGTGGTTCGAATCTTTCAACTGCTTAAGATGAGCTTAGTATGAAATAAAGTGTTTGAGGATCTTTTTCCCAACATCCATTGTTTTTTTCGGGAGAAGCCTTATAGTGTTAAATTTTAAGAAGTCAAGCCCTAGAACTAACTCTTAGCCAGAAAGTGTTGTGATTCTAGAGGTATTTGTGATTAGTAGGTATATGAAGATATATATAGTTTGCGTATGGCCGTGTTTTGTGACTATATCTTAGCTGTATTGAACTATTTGAAATACCTCTCCTCGATCTTGTAGTTGCTTTTTTAGGGATGAGGTAGGGAAACAGGGTCTGTGATATAAGTACGAAAGTCTGAGAAATTAATAAAATTCTTATCTTCATGTTCTGATTCGGATATACATGTCAAGGATTGGAATTTTGAATAAACCAATGACTGAAGGCAAATCTGGGTTGGTTATATATCTGACAGTAGAAGTCATCTTTCAACATCGTTACTTCAAAAGTGGTACTTCCTGTCAACTTACCGGTTTTTTAAATTATTTTTATTGGTAATGAACTGTGGTTCTAAATCATTTGTACTGGTCTTAGTTATCCAATCTTTCGTAATTTTTACGAAATTATTTGGGAACTGATAACTATTTATTGATTTATAAAGTATTTAAGCACAACATGGGTACTTAACATTTTAATTTGAAGCTACAAAATGAATGATCCAACAAAAACTACGAAGTAAAGAGCCAGAAAAATCAAAAATGTCAGGTTATTGAGAGCACATGCCAGTGGAGCATACTTCCGCTGTGAATCCTCGTTAATCTCCTCACTGGACAGTGGTAGAGCAATCCTATTATTAATAAAATAAGCGAATTGATTTAGTGAATGATGTAGTGGTATGGCGGTGTTAGATTTCGATAGCCTCCATAAAATCATTGAAATCATGAGATGAAGTTGAATCCAATATATTTCACTGAAAACAATTTTTGAATATTGACTCTTCGTAGTCATGTTACTATATATTCTTTTTTCATGGTCTCGGTATGCTGTCATGACAATTCGAAATGTTTGAAATTCTTGCAAGCTCTAATATTCAAATCTGAAGAGTTGAGGAACGGAGCGAAAAAATTCTTTAAAAATGAATGATAGGTACTTCCTCCAGAAGTGATTGAAGTTGAAATCACAAAGATTCTTTGAGAGACCTTAACTTTTAAAAGGAAATGAAACGAACATATAGTTGGTGTATGGATAGCAAATGTCGGTAATCGGCTATTAATAAGAGTCAAGGCGATAATCTGAGCCAAGAGAGATAATGCTATTGGCACCAGCTGGGCTATAGATATCTGAAATGGCACGGATGATATGGTGATAATGGATGTTATAAGAGCTGGTAACAACATTTCCGTCGTAAAGTACACAGCATTACGACGTAAATCCAAGCATAATTCACTATTTGATGATTGAATATCGAACGGATCGTCTCGCCAGTTGCCAAACATTTGAATGTAATATTTACACCTGAAATTTCGAAGTTTTTTTCTGCGATTCGGAAAACAAGCAAGTCATCTTGATAATTAGCCAGTATGTGTGTATGTATGTGTGCAGAATTTTGATTCATTCATGTTCATGAAAATGTTACCAATAACAACTGATGTAGGACTTACGTTGATTTCAACATTTTCAAGAGTCCAGCCGATAGCATAAGTTTCGGTAAATTCCTCATGTTTTTTTGATTTAACTTTATCAGCAATAATAAATCGCACAGAAAAATATTGTTTATCATCGAATTTGAAACACAGATGTTGGTAATCATTTGGATAATCCTCATATCGGAAGTTATAGGGAGCTGCAAACGAAGAATCCAACCACATATAAACCTGATCTGTGTGGTTCGCTACGAGTACTTTGCTTATCGTAGTCCCTGGATTTATTGATGTTCTGAAAATGTGAATTTTATATTTTTCGTTATTTCCCGATGCTTTATCATCAGATATTGAAGCGGCTAATTCTTTAATTTATTATCTTTTATCAAGATATAATGATCTCGGAAATCTTGAGTCATTTTCAGATTAAAATAGAAAATCCCTGACGAATTTATTTGTATGAGTTGAGGAGTCCAAATCTGCAGTAAAAGTCCAGTAAAAGTTTAACCATGACAGCTTCCACTGATTGCGATCCCATGCCACTTTCGTATCATTTCAACTCTTTATTTTTTGAGATAGTATTAATACATTACAAGTAGCAAAAAGAATTATTACAAGTAGTTATCTGATAAGTAGAAGAATTCATAAGGTCAATTGATATTAAAATGAATTAAATGAAACTTACCAGAACCATTCTGCCAAATACTCCGACCATCTGTTTCTCTTTGTCCTGAATATGGACGATAATTTTATCTGAATGGTTTTAATCTCTCTTATTTTCAGCAAATTTCGAAAAAAAGTTTTAAGAACGATGAACTGTACCACATCGACGTGATTGATACGGATGCTTTCAACGCTAACTACATGTGATAAGTTTGAATTTGTAGGATTATCATAGTGGGAAGCGATACAATCTCGTAATCTCCATGCTCTGTCACCTCCTTGACAGCGACACGATATTCGACAATTCGCCATCATCCTGTTAATACAAAAATTCGAAGAAACGTGACTAGTTTTTCCACCTGAATTGCTATCATAGTTCAAAAAACGTATTACAACTGAAGCAGTCTAGAGTAAAAGACATATTCGTTTATGATTAGATAATTTTAGTAAGGCTTATCAATTAAATGTAAAACGTAGTAATATACAGACCTACCAAACAGGATTACTTTGACATTCACCCCGACTTGCCCAATCTGCACATTTTGGATCTAAATCAGTGCATGTGTCTGAACTTGTTGAAGTTTCACTTATTACCACTGAAATGAACGTCATTCAAATGAACTATTTTCGAAGTTATAAGCAAATGAAATAAGAATGAAGTAAGAACATATAACTAGGAAAATAAACACTACCTTTTAAAAAAACAATGGAGACAATAAAATATATAAGAATGCATCTTTTAAACAAAATACGATATCAAATTCCGAAATTTTAGCGTATTTGTAAATTAGAGAAAATCGGTCCATCAGTAATTCCATATGTCGGAAGTAAATCAAATATTGTAATAATTTTGCAATTTAAGCAATAGAATAGGAATTTTTAACCTTGAGTGAACATATATAGTTTGGTAAGCCATACAACCAACGGATGTTCTGATGACCGCATTGTCTTAGTATTGAGGAAATAACGATGAACTGAATCTGGTTACTAAGAGACCATAAAAATTTTTCAGAGAGAAGTAGAACTAAATGGGTAATCCTTCTTTCAGAATTTCTGGAATTTGGAAGATCCTTCCAAGCAAATGTAACTTATTTAAATGAACTGATAAAACGCACTTTTAAAGATTCCAGCAAATTAATTAAACAGAATTATTTCACAATTAAATGATTTATTTTACTTGTTCGTCATAAATTTAATTTTTTCATTAACGCTCCCATTCATCTTTATCTAATAAATAAATGAATACATAATACCGTTTGTTACGATTATTTTAAACTATTTTGTTTGAAAACATATTTTCAGTACTCTTAAGTTTCATGAAAATTTAAAACTGAAAAAAAAATTTAAAACTAAATCTGATATTATAAATGGCGACAACGGAAATGATGAAGATATGATGATAGTGGATCATAATGATTGCGATATTAGCAATCACGATGGCTGTAATGATTGCAATGGAAGAAACAATAGAAAAAATATATTCATGCACAGTTTCAACAAAGACTGCACGGACATGTCTAATAATGATCATGTTTACTGAAATAGTAGAAGAAATGATAATGCTCATTGCTATGATTATACTTTCACGATGTTATCAAAAAGAAATTAACGAATAATTGGAAAATCAAAAATTTTAAATAAATTTCTTGCCCACTGAGAAGTAAACTTGTTAATTAAAATCAATAACTCATATTTCGCTTGAAATATGACTGCAAATAATTAATTTCAAACGTAACGTGCATTGATATAAACTATTTTAAGAGACAATCAATTTTGAATCTTAAACATGTCTTTTTGATATATTTTAATATTTTGAGCTATTTAAAAATTTTCAACCATAGGATTAAATTTAGAAAATATGTAGTTGACTGCACTAAAATTTATTAAATTAGAATATCATAAAACAAAGTGGAATGCCTTAAGACACATATTACTATCATCAATGAGGACAATAATATAAGAAGTATGAAGTGCTCCAAAAAGCGGAATGAAAAATCTTTCAAAACTTTTTGCTTGATGACACTTTTTGAGATTCGTAATAATATATTACTGTAAAGTGAAAATATTTTTACGATGATGGCAACAGAAATTTTAGTTCCTTCTCAAATACACAATTTTACGAATATAATATGGCGCATTTTGTCACACTATTTACTTCCAATAAAAATGCTGAAAAAAATCAGTATACGCCTTTCAGTAAACCTGATCAATTATACAAAATTTTACAGTAATCTTTAGTGTATTATTAAAAAAGTACATTATGATATCGGGAAATGGAATATGAGTGGGCATCAAATCTGTGATTCCTGGAGGGACAGAAGTCATAATATCTTGCGAGAGCAAAAGCTCTGTAATATCCGGAAGTATCAATATGCGCATTGCCTTCGACGGACAGAATATCAGATATGTCAATAGAGATGAACGAAGAATGTACGGTTGAAACATAACAGCGCTTGCGCAGAATAAACAGTAACTTGCCGTCCCACAAGATTTATCATTTTTTTTCTTCTTTATTAAGATTTATAGGATAACTTTTTAAATTCTTTTTAATCGAATATTTCTAAATATTTTTGCTAAGATGACTGAATGAATTTTAATATAAATTATAGTAATACAATGCTCAAATTTAAGCATGAAAAAGAAAGAGCAAAAAGGCTGACAACAAAGTAGTTTAATAGGAATTAATAAAAGAATAATGAAAAGAGCTGATGAAATACGAATTGAAATAAATACAGTTTCTTTTTAATGCGAAGTATAGCGTTAAGGTTCTGATAACGTAACGGTGATCGCAAAAAAAATGACGGATGAGAGAATGACGGATGGAGGTTCACGACGTTTCCTTGTGTATGTTTTCCGCAGTGTCCCGTTCGTTCCTCTTCGTAATCTGTGCAATTTTTGCGCTGCGATAAAAAAGCGATGAAAAAATCGCTTCTCTTCCTTCATCTGGAAATTAGCAGAATCCCTCAAAATTGTGTATTGATGGGAAATTTACTTCACATCAAGTTTCAATTTAGTCATAATTTTTTAAAATTTGTAATGATTTTGTATCAAATTGGACTTTGTTAAGGTTTATTCATCTCTAATTCGTTACATGAGATCGCGATCCCTTGTTTTTCATCAACTGAATTCCTTTTTAAATGCGCTTCCAAACAACTCTTTGAAATTTAATTACAATTTGTAATTTGACAAAAAAGAAAAAATAAACAGGAAATCCATCTCCATGTACGAAACTTTTCATCAGCTTTCACCAAGTGGACTTCCAGTATTGGATTATCTCATCTAATATGAAATTTCTTCAAATATTGCGGTCTTATAAGTCATAGCTTTCTATTATCAATATGATATAATTTTACAACTGGGCTAAACTAGGGCTTGATGATCTGACTAAGAAAATGTTTTATGTAATCACTTCGTAGAAGTCTGAAATAGTTCCTGTAAGCAAATATACAATAACTGAAGCTCTTCTGTCATGTCTCTTTTGCGAAAATATATATATGAAAAAATTTTTCCCTAAAATAGATGAAATCAGAAAATAAAGCTGAAATACAATTAACTACATAAAATGCAAATTTCATCCCACTTGTTTAGTTAATGGTTAAAATAAATTGACAAGATTTGAATCAATGATCTGAAAATAGAAATAGCTATTTAAACCGGCTTTAAGACTGCTCTTTTTCCTTAAATATTAGCTCCAATTTTAAATACTCAGCGCAACATTTTAGGCTCTTCATGTAATTGAGTTTTCTGTTTATGTTTTTCATTGAGCGCTGTGCCCATATTGCTTGTTTCGTTTAGTATCTTTTTTCGTAATCAGTTTCCTCATTATCGTCGTGAATTTATCATTATTGATTTCTTTAGATGTTCAGTTTTATTCAGCACGACACACTTTAAACATTACAAAAATATAAATTTATTCGTTGAAATGTCGGAGAAACTTGAGTAAACGATTAAAAAAATAAATAATTGCAAGTGATTTGTCACCAAGCAAAAATGAATTATGCTGATAAACAGATAAATAACAGTAATAATTTGAGTAGTTATCCTTAATCATATCAATAAACCAAATAAAAGATGAAAGTAAGGCATTGCTTCTCTCAAGATTGAATTATTCAGTTTGCTAAAGATGCATGTCATGCATGCGTGAATGATATCATGAATCACTAGGACGATTTATAATGCATCATAAATCGACTGCAGAAATATCGCATACTTCTGTGATCTTGAAAGAAAAAACTTTCTGAATGAGCAAAAGATTGTTTTGTAAAAAAGGAAACAAAAAGTTATTAGTTCTCCAGTTATCTACAATAAATACGTGACTGTAATAATATCATTACAAGGAATGCATCGTTTCAACAGAATTTGAAAATAAACTTGCATTTATGCTAAATTTTAACTTTTCTTCAACTCATTACTTGACAAATAAGGCGTTTTTAGTTTAATTCAGTTGACCATGTATTTTGCATCGAATTGAAACTGAAAATCAGAAATCTATGGTTTCGAAATTTTCGGATGCTCTCGCTTAGAACCAGGGGATTTGTTCTAATCTCGAACATTATTTTATTCTACAGCCTTGATTGAACTTTAATCACATAATCTTTCCTTCTATCTCTTTTAATAAACATGCAAATTGCCATAACATGCTTGATTTCTTTTTGCTTTGATTTTTTTGCTCTCAGCTAAATTATTTCACATTTTACTAACCCGTATTTTTAGTGCGTGTAATAATTGCAAGAATTTCATTTTATACCTTTTTAGACAAAGATAAAAAACTTCTGTCGGAATTTGGTTTTTTTTTCAAATATGCAAATATTATACAGATATGGGAGAATTGCTTGGAATCTAAGGAGTATGTGTGCTTCAGAATGTTTTTTTATCCTTCTTTGACCAATTCGACTGGCGCCATATTTCGGTGGCAAAAATGATCGAACTATAAAAACAAGCTGTTTTCTGGCCTTGGATTATTTCATCCAGTGAAGGGAGAGAAAGAGAGAGAAAGAGAGAGGGAGTTAATCATTTGGAAAGGGTCAACGTATATGGTGATATCATGAAAAACTCTTGTTTATTATTCGCGATTCTTTCATATTTTGGTCAGTCTTTGTTTTCTTCCTTATTTTAGTTTGTTTCATCAGTTTTCATTTTATAAATACTAGCATTGAAATTTAGTTGAGATTCAGACAGAAATAACCATTCTTATGTATTACAAATGTCTTAACTGTGAATGGTTATGTTATCCAACGTGATTTCGTACCACAAGTGAGCCAACCAGTAAAAATAGGCCTTTGCTTTAAATTGTCAAGATGGAAGGATTTTTTCCAACTATATTACTTTATGATTTTCAGCGAGCATATCGGCTAACGCAAGTTTTTCAAATAGTGAAACGAAGAGCTCGGTGAGGTATCAGCAATGCTCAAGAGGTATTTAACTTCATTTTATGATTTTAATAATCGAAATTAGTAATTAAAGAAGGAGTAATAAAGTTTAATTCACGGAAGATTGATGAGAAATGACAACTAATTTTAGGCAATTGCGATTTAATGATATCTCATCGAAAAATACGACCAGAACCAACTTTAAGGGCAAATAGAAGTAATTTTTGCTCATATTTTTTAAATTAGTTTAATTTATTTTTATTCAGTACAGTTCAGCAAAACAATATTTTGCATGTATTTGACTTTCAGCCAACGACCGTGCTTAGATTGAAAGAAAACAGCGAATAGTCAGCACGCGAAATGCTTTTGATGCTACAAAATGCATTAGCAGTCAAGATTTGGTATCAGCTAGTATTAAGCCTAACTACGAAGGTCATTTGCTCCATTTATTCTTTTAAATGTTTGAAGACTCTCCTTCCTTCATGTAAAACATGAGACGTTGATGGTAATGCAAGTTTGCTTATCCATATATTGAAATTTTCAGAGCTAACTAAATTTTGCACAGGGCGCTGTGACGGATCATACTCTCTGGGTTGTACACAAAACTACGTAGTGTGCTCCAATGATATTCCTTATATAATGTTATGCCCAGAAAAACTAGTATTGGATATCACTATCGGGGAATGTGCTAAAAGGTCCACATTGCTGTGTTAATTTCAAACTATGAGGCTTAAGTCATCTTACAGAATATTTTCATAAAACACTTGAGACATTCAAAAATCTTCAACCTTTACATAATGCCTGATTCCGAATGCTTCATTAGAAAATGTTATCTTCAGAGATCATGTAGAACACTGCAAAAATATTTCACTCGAAAAAACTCTCTTAAATGCTAGCGATCTCGGAAATACAATGGCAATTTTTCGTTTAGGAGTAAGGTATTTTGCTACATGGACCAACAAATGTCTGGAAATTTAGTCTTTTTTCTTTCTTTCTTTCTTTTATAGGTCGACGTATCAGCTTGCAACAATGTCATAATTAATTCAAAAAGCACTTCAGCTGTAGAGGTCGCCTCCAATAGTTCTACAATGACAACACAAATTCCATCATCTCCGGGTAATTAGTTAATGATGGTTGACCTTTCGAATTAGATTAATCTGACTTGATTGGGAATCATTTTCAACAAGTGTATTTTAGAGTTTTCGTGTGTCGGAGTACCAGATGGAGTCTACGGAGAAGGTTGTACAAAAGAAGTGACGTTCTGTCTATCAGGAAGGGTTGCCAGGTTCCAATGCCCTGATCTTTTGAAGTACGACACTGAGAGCAAGATGTGTTTGCCACAGGTAGCAAACCCTGTTCCACTTTTTAGAGCATTTTCACTAGTTTCAGGCTTATTCTATTACAGATTACAATATTTAGTTGATATATCAGTATAATGACGACATTGCAGGCAAAAGTAATAGCCTGCCATGAGTTACCAATCAAAGAATCAGAATCAAAGTCGGAATCGCAACTGCTATTTCCAGCGCAGGAGTCCGGTAAATACTGTAGCAATCTATATGCATATCTCTACATATCAGTTCCTTTATCAAATCAGTTCTAATGATGTATTCAGAATTCACATGTGAAAGCAAACCGGATGGTGCATATGCAAGAGGATGTGCCGCCGAATTTGTGGTGTGCACTTCTGGCCTAGCAACTTACTATCGTTGCTTGTCGCCTCTTATGTATGACATAGATTCGCAAATGTGTCATGATCAGGTAATTTTCTTTTCAATTGAAGAGTTCGAAGTTTTGCAAAGTTTTGAAAGTCGGTGACCAGATGCTCACCAGTGCTTGCAATCAATCGATGACAGAATTGGATGATGCCTCAACGAATTCCTCACGTGAATTTTGTCTTTTTTTTCAGAGGTACATTTCTAGAAATAGTGAATTATATTATGTTTTCACTTTTCATCAATAATTTCAGTTATTGATTGTTCCGTTGAGTTGAATGGTCCTGTTTCATCAAAATGCTCATCAATTTCCAGTATTGCATTGATGGTAAACTTGAGCAGCATGCTTGTCCTGAGAATTTTAAATTCGATAATACAATCCAGAAATGTCTCCCAGAAGTAAGTGTAGCCTGATTCTTTTATCTGCAATATATTGCAATTACCATGTTGGTGTAATTATTGCGTCATTATCTTAATTTTTAGCCGCTTGTAGCAGCTTGCTCAAAAACTCAGCCGATCGTATTTGTTAATAGAGCAAAAGATGCAAAATCATCGTTTAATACACAAGAAGGAAGTAATGCAGTGCCGATGGTATCAATCGCTCATTTAATTATAAAGTGCAATCAATCTACTCCGATTGTCAAAACAACAGCAGTAATTACGGAAATGCCTGTCATTGAGACTATATCTTGTTTAGAGAGAATTAAAACAATGGGCTATTTAAGAGGTAAATTTTTGCACAACTAAAATAATTTTACAACATTCGAAAGAAATTATGTTTAACGCGGAATTTTACTTCTTTTAGAACCGGTTGGAAATGAAACAATAAGTTGCGGAGGGAAATCGAATGGTGTGTATGCAGGCGAGTGCGCACTGGAAAGTTATGTTTGTGTCAACGGAAATATTTTTTACTTGTATTGCAAGACAGTGAGGAAAAAAATGATACAAACTGTTATATGAAATCTTGCAGCAGTATATGAGGACATATGGCTCAGTCAGAGAAGTACAAGCTGTAAATGAAGGGTCATTTGAGGTCACAGCTATGCAAGACGGTACACGTAACTTGGTTCCAATAGATTCAGTGCGATATGGAACATTAGTTACCGGCTCCGAATTTCCATCTCTTTTTTCACCCGTTCCGTACAGTGAGTTGAGCCAAGTCTAAATCCTTGAGTTTAGCTTCAAGAAGTTAAGTTTCTTGTTTCAGTAATGTTTACATTAAGTGTCATCCTATATTTATTTGCCTGATGGGAAATATTCACGAGGATGTTCTGTGGAATTTATTCTTTGCATTGATGGACAGCTGAAAATAAACAAATGTCCTAGTAGTGTGTTGAAATTCGACTCTTCTTCTCAGCAATGTCTTATAGCAGTAAATTTTATATTATTATTTATAACATTACAGGGGTTTCTGTGAGATTTTTCAATTTGTATTGACTTTTCAATTAAAAGAAAACTCCCACTGTAGGCTTTTGTGAAAGAATGTAGTGGGAAACGAACTACAGTGGACGAAAGCCAAACAGAAGTGTTGTTGAACAAAGTAATAGCTCGAAAGGGGGAAAAAACTGGTCAGTTAATTTTCGTTAATCGATGAAGTAAATTTTTATCCAGCTGAAACTTTATCCTTTCAAAAAATAGTATTTCCAGAATTCATGTGTAACAATCGACCAGATAGTAGATATACTCAGGGATGTTCTCCGAAATTCATTCAGTGTAAAGGTGTTGAAAAGATGCAACTTCGTTGTCCTGGTTCACTGATCTTCGATGAGGAAACTCAACAATGCCGTTCAGCTGTATGCATCCTTTTTCATTTTTTTCCAATAAGTTTAAATAGCAATTGCGAACAAAATTATGAACACTTTTCAATTTCAGTCTTATGTAAGTGCTTGTAATATTTTGAGCAGTAGTAATTCGTCAACAGCCTCGCGATCCAATAGAACTGGAACATCGCTTTTAACAAGTAATCAGCACTTCCTCCTCATTTTATCGGTTCTCATTAATAATCGTGCAACTTGATTGAGATTGCTTCAATAAAAGTTGGCATCGGTATTTGAAGGCCCAGCATCGGAAATGATTTTATTTGGAGATGAGCCGCTTGGATCATTTTAAAGGCATAGATGTAGAGATATTACGTCGTAGTTTCTTCTCGAAAAAAATGTTGGTACCACGAATTACAAATCAAAATCCTATTCATGTCGTGTAATGTAAATGCGCAGATTTCGGATCAAATTTGATGCACTTTCAGTATTTGACTGTATGGAACTACCAGATGGAGTCTACTCAAAAAGATGTTCACGCGAATACACGTTATGCATAGCAGGCACATCAGTAATATACCACTGTTCTGGACAGTTGATATTTGATGCGCAATCGGAAAATTGCGTTACTAAGGTAAACATTTGAGGCTTGAATATTTGCTGAATTTGGGTACCAATTAAAAATTTTGATACCTGAATTTGGATACCAATTAAAAAGTCCCCTTGAAGCAATTTTTAATTTTAGTATAATTTTCCAGAACTTGGTGAGTTCATGTGCAGAAACAATCCCTGAGATAGTTGATGAAGAAATTGTGGTCTCCGAGGTTATTGCTGATGCACCACTCAGCGAGAGTGCGAAATATAACCTAACGGAGAAATCCATGGATGAGATTGTGGGTCTCAGATCGTCATCAGTTGTTAACGAATATTCAATTCCAGTAGCTTACTCGATTGCATACTTCGCGGATTTTAATCCTATGATCTGTAAGTGCATTAGTTGTACCTGAAAATTCATTGAAGTTTGTCATGACTTGCAAAAATTAACAAAGTCATTGTAGATTTCTGTCTCGAGAGATCCGATGACATTTATGTCGATGACTGCTCAACAGATTTTATTGTTTGCGTCGCAGAAACTGCTCTATTTCTCCACTGCACTAATTCATTAAGATATGACAGAGTTTCAGGAATGTGTTTGGATGAGGTATTTTAGAATTTTTATAGTTTATTGTGTATTTGGAATATTTACAAAAAATTGTAATTTACTATTTATAGAGTGAAGTAGCAACATGCAGCGTTAACATCAGATCTGCTTCCATTACCGATCCATTGAAGGTAGTTCCATCTGAAGAAAATAATTCATCGAACAAATTAAAGGTTTCAGATGTTTCAGTGATAAATTATGAGGGCAATGCAACGAATGAAGACTTTGCAGGTCTTTTTTGTTTCACTGATTCCGTTTTGATTTCATTACAATGTATCATTTAAACGACCCTTAAACAGTCAAGTGCAAAGAAGATTGACAACTGTTATCTAATGTTTTCATGTTTCCATTCATTATGAACATGCTTTTAATTGAAGCATATTGCGCCGCTCGCCCGGATGGTTTGTATGCCGAAGGTTGCTCATCGAAATTTGTGTCCTGCTGAAGTGGACATGGTAGTAGTTATAACTGTTCCGATGAATTGAAATTCAGTGTAGCGTTGAGTAAATATGTCGCACAGGTTTGGTTTTATTTCATTTATTTATTTTTTGATTTCTTCTAAGACAACCCCTTCAGTTAAACTTTTAAGATGAAATCGAAGTATTTAAATTTCCCAATTTAACTGGAGTTTTAAGAAAACTTCTGGAAATCTGAAATTTTAGGCTGATGTCGCTGAATGTCAAGAAAGATATCAAGTGTGAAACAGCAATGTAACATCTGGACACTTTTTAGCTTTCATTAATCAGATAATGAGAATGTGAGACTTCCATTTGTTCATTTTTATTTTGTATTTTCTTCATGACGAGTTCATTAACAGGAATTCCATTTCCAAAATACTGATTTCGGATCCATAACTGATTCCTTCCTCCATCTTAAACACTGAACAGTTTGTGTAACGAAGTTTTTAATAACTCAGTTTGATCAATTATCATTTATACTTTTTCATGCATTCGCTTCTCTATTTCGTAATTATTACATTTAATAAAAATTAAGTTTGTAACTGTGTTCACAAAAGTACCACGTATATATAGCACTACTGGTGACCCTAAAGATTGTCCTGTATAAGCAAAAGGCAGATTGAGTCTTGAGTAAGGCGGGGCACGTGAAACCCTATCTGAACATGACTTGTTGCCGTTCTCATTTATAACGAGGTAAATACCTATGGTGGAGACCTGCAGCTTCACATATGCAGTTTCGACATAGCAACAGAGAGGGACTTCTTCCACAAAAAAAAGACTACTTTAAAGACTACTTTACTGAAAGTCGCGATCTTGGTTAAGAACACAAACTTCTCGTTGGTGATGAATTCTGTCTGAGAAGACCAAGGAAATAGAATCTAACGTTCTACTTGAAACCTTTGATGAGGTTAAAAGGTCGATTATCCTTCTCTCTAACAGAAGGGAAGAAATAGTGCAGAGCAAGGATGGTGGTGAAGGTTGATAAGGTCTGCTAGAAATATAGCAGGAGTTGAATAGACGACAAGGCAACGCAGTACCGGATGTGGAGGGAGTGTCGAGCGGAGATGAATAGGTGTAGCAAAAGCACGCTGTCTACAGCAAATGTGTTAAATAATCTATTCGGTTCCCCAAAATAATCACTTAGAGGTCGAAGCCCAATTTGCGAAGGTCTCTTTAAATCAGTGAAATATGACGGGTAAAGGGGTTAGTTTTAGCATCTTATTGCGGTGAAAAAAAAAAGAAGGACTGCTTTGTTATCTGTTTCTGATTACTGACTCGGTGTTAAAAATACTTTCATTTTAATTGTATGAGTCGGAAATTTTTGCAGATATTCATTCACAGAGATAGTTAAATGATTGGAAAAAGTGATGACACCAAGAAAACAATTCTCTCCGGAAATAACGGAAAATGATGTGGAGACGATAATGAAGTGATGTTGATATTTTTTCAAATATTTTTGATATTCTGTGACAATCTAATTTTTGAACGATTAATTTGTTTTTTAGATTGTGTCGTAGCACTGTGCAAACATTTGAATCTATCGGCGATGTTTTTCTCAGTGTAAGTTTTATTTTACACCTCTTGTTTCTTTTTGAGTGTAATATTTTCCTTTTTTTTTCTGTTACTCAGTATTGAAAATCTACAACGTTCCAATACTAATTAAATGAATTCAATACTAATTAAATGAACACCAGATGAACTTTGATGCAAATTATAGTCAAAGAAATCTGTGTTTCCTTCAAATTTTTTCTTAATTCTTTCGAAAGGAATTTTCTGCATAAAATAAAGGTATGTATACTGCTAACAGGAATTTACAGACCTTCAGTGGAAGACACACTAGTTTTTCTATTGGTTATGCGCTATTATTGGCGTTTAGAGAATTTGATGGCATTGAAAACTTGAGGCATCGAGTAGTCCTCATTTATCTCTTGTACAGGTTTCTCTTTATCTCGTAATGCTCAGCTATTGGTATTGAGTATCAGCATTAATCAATATTTAGTATAGAGCATTTGAAAGGACATCAAATAGTGGATAATTCTGCTATTGACTCACCATTCAGCAGTTTTGTTGTCTCTGACACTCATCCTGTCTCATCGGACTATTTGCAGATCTGCTGAACTTGACGGTGTATCAACAGAGGGCGGCATACTTCAACATCCTTTTCTGTCTTTTTTTCTATCCGTTATGGTAAGATCGATTTCTTTTGCATAACTACCTATTTAAAGGATTGGAACACTTTAGTTCACCGAATTTTGAACTTTGTTCATATTTTTCAGGAAAATAACAAAGATTCGAAGGATAGTTCTGTGGAAGTAGAAATGTTAGGCTGTCCAAAACTTGGAACTCGTGAGAAATACATCACTGGTTGCTTATTAACAGAAATGTTGGACAAAATTACCAACCGCACTCCAGTCGACATTACCATGATGAAAATTCCAAAGCAGGTTGCATTTTCACTAAACTAAATAATTTTCTCATAAATTCAATTTTTATTTGCTTATTTTAAAGGATTTTGATATAACGCGATATATAGCGGCGCTTAAAAATCGACAGGCAAAATATCCTTCGATTGCATCGGTTACTGCCCCAGCTGTTATCAGAATATTAAATGAGAAGACAAAAAATCAGTATGTTTTACTTTTGTTTTCAAATAAGACTTATAGTGTTATTCTTATTTAGCAACTTATAATGATTTCAGTAAAATTGTTTTCTTAGTTTTTAAAAATAAACTTCATGAAAGAATTTTTCAGAGAGAAATTAATTGATGTTGAATCATTGACACCTACATTGCTCCCCAATTTATTAACAAATCCTTACTTGTTTGAAATTCTTCCTCCTTCATTTCATCGTGTTACACCTTCATTAATGCCTCCCTCAGATGACGAGGTAAGATTGAATTTACCTATATTTCTAATTTTACCAGCACTATCGGAATTTATAGTTCTGTAACATCGTATCATAATTATATGTTCTTTTTTCACGCCGATGTTTTTCAGTTCCAATTTCTGTATCCTTTCATTTTGGATCCTATGTGGATGGAAACGAGCGTTGAGAAGCAGGATGTACGAGCGTTATCCAACGCCTCTCGTGTTTTCAATCCAGTGACTACTGTTCATGAAAATCAAGTGATAAGTGAGAAATCAGAGAACGATGAATTGGAAACAACATCTCCTACAATGTTATCTCTGCCGTCTGAGGAAATACAAGGGGATTCTGTGGGTGTTTCTAATAAGATTTGGTCCAAATGATCCGTTTTTGAACGTACCTGAATGTGATTTACTGTCTGCTTATTTCAGCTTTTACATTTATCAGTTTTATCCGGGAGCAAGATTAACGAAGTCTTCCTTTCAGACTGGTTTTTTACTTCCTAGTATGCCTAATAATACGGCTCCTGCATCAGACGGTAAAAAGTTGGCTGTAGTGCTCTCTGAGCGAAAAGTAGATATTATCAACAATGACGCCTTAACAGAGCAAGAAGCAAATGCATCGGTCGAAGCATCTCCAGTCGTTGAAGTTCGTTTTTTGACTGAAGTTATTTTGGTATTTTTGGTTGCGACAACAATTTTTAAAATATCTACTGCAGTGTCAAACGATCATATCATCAGTTTCATCCGAAAAGAAACAGCTGATGACGTCTGTGGAGGCTATAGAGCTCTTGAAAAAGTCTTTGGTGTCGATCATTACAAGAACAGAGGCGCAGAAATTAGCCGAAGCTATTGCGAAAGATCCTTCATTAGCTAAATATATAGATATTCCCTTAAGCAAGGTTGCTTTTTGCATCTATGTTACATTTATATTTAGTCCATGTATTAGTGAGTCATTGTGTATTCTTATCTGTTTTGAAAATTCGAGATTTACATGCACATTGCAGAGTTCGTAGCTGAAATTTGCAAATTTCAGTTTGATAAATATATTGACGATAATCCGGCAATTGCAGCAGCAGTTATTGTGGCTCGAATCACCCAAAACTGCAGTGAATTACCCCAGTAAATATTTTTCTGAAGTTATTAAATTGCTCGGTTTTAATTCTATACAATCTATCCGTTGATTATTGATTTATTTGCAGGTTTTTCCAATTACTTGCTGGAATGAAGATCTCAGTACAAGCTATGGAAGTAGTAAACAGACTGTGTACCGTATGTTTTCAGAATTAATAAATAGTTTTAAAGTCTATAATGATGAGAAATGAACTTGATCTGTATTGCTCCCCTTTCTTCAGCCTGCCTTCTTCGTTCAATGTCCTTTCACTGTTTCAAATACAAAGTAAAAAACAAATATTTCGAAGTTTGAGATCTACATCCCTGCTTATCGAAATAAAAAATAACATAACCCCAAACTCCACAGTTTAAAATTTTCATCTGTTGATTGTTATAAGATAAAGAAATCATGTTTTATTTTCATATTTCTAGTATATTTCATTTGCAACCGTTTCATAAAATAGATTTGTATCAGGTCAAAGAATAAAAGTTGTGAGAGGGCTACATGAGCAATAGAAGAACAAAAGTGTACATATATGTCATTTCTAACTTCTGTAGTATTTGTATGTGGTTTTTGGCTTGATCAGAAAAATTATTTGAAGTACTGAGCCTTATTTCGCATTTCAATGTACTGATGTTAATTAAGTTTTCCATTCAGAACGTCGGATGGGAAGAAACAACTAATTGAAAGCTAAAAGAGACAGTGTAGTTTAGTCATCTTACTCATTCTCCATCGTAGCACATATGAATTATCGCACTTTATATTTTTAAAGCGCTCATATTGCTAAACTGATTAATTCGTCTATCCTTTATACTGAATTGACATCAGTAATTATTTTAGCAAGTTGAATTTCCACAAGAATATCTCAACAGTTATATTGCAACATGTGTACGTCGTTGTGAAGAGCCAGATCAGACGCCGTTTATGCAATGTCGTCAAGTACGAGTGGTGTGTGTCTTCCTTTCTTCACTTATTCGAAGTCGTACGTGGGATGTTCGCGTATGTTTTTTCTTTTAATGCACAAATATTTGAAGAGTGTAAGTTCCACATTTAACAAAATTTTTGTAACACATTAATTAATGCCTGCTTTACTAAAGATTTGACCAAATTTTCGCTTTCAGCCATTATCGGTAGAATTGCAAGCTTTTGTCTTGAAGTTTAATCACGTACGTGAAGCAGCTTCTCTGTATCAAGCTATTTTAATGGCTCTTCAACCATCTGCAGAATCAGTGACAACTTGTTCCAGTACCCTTGGTCTTTCAGCGAAAACAGCTGGAGTCATTTCAGCGGTTACGACTACTGGTTCTATCGAACAAAGTGCTGCCAACAATAGGGGTGGTCGTTGTAGCCACTGACTTGTATATTCAATTTGTTCAGTAATTCGGGCGATAAATTTCGGCTGTTAAAATAGCAGCCATTTATCAGGTATTGTTGTGCTGTAATGGTTTTAGTGATGTCTTGTGTTGTCTTGCAATTCTTTTTTGTGAAATTAAAAATTCTTATGAAACTAACTTAAAAAAAATGCTGTAAAGTTTTGGAATTGGAGTTAACAGTGAAATAAATTTGTTACGTCAAGTATGATCCAATTGCAAAAGTCATTTGCTCATTGATATATGGAGAATTTTTTGTGTTTTCCCTACAGAGTTTATTTCCTCTATGTCTTTTTTCCATTCACTGTCATATTGTAATAGTTACTTTCTCGAGCTACAGTTTGGTCCATTCTCACGTCATATCATAACTAAATCTTCAGGAATTATGGATAAGATACCCCATAGGTTCTTAAAATTTTCCGTTGCCGATAACAAGATAAGTGTTGAAAACTTCACCTGATGCATTAAAGTAGCAAAATGTTGCGCTAGTTTATATTGAATTTGAAGTGGTGTGTTGGCGTTGTTTTGAAGTAAGATTTCAAAAGATAAATTACTTCAAATTAGATTTATGCTGTTTTAGAGAGTGTTTACTGAGGAGCTAACCATTTTTGCTCTTTGATGTTAATCACGGTTCTGTATGTGTTGTCTTTTTTTCCTCATTTCCTATTGTGCTTTATGTTCTGCTCAAAAATTTAGTGAATAAGGATTATTTTGCTTCATGATCATCAGCCCTTCGTTTTGCAAAGTGCACACCGACGCATAAATTTGTCGATTTTCGAGTTTCCGATCTTTTAATCACAGCTGTTAGCTGCGTGAATTTTTTTGGATGGTTTTGTGGGAAACACCCAACGATCTGTTTTGCAAAGTTAATTTTTTGGAGCGCTTTGATAAATATTACTTCGAGTAAAATAAATAGTAGTATGTGTATGTGACTGTATAATTTAACCGCTACTGTTTTATGATCCATACTTGTTGATGTTGTTTTGAATAAATTAATTTTCTTTTTTTTTTTGTTGGCCCTATGTATTTGTTTCCTGTTTTGTATATATATATATATATATACATACATACATGTGTATATATATAACCTAACAGTTAGAATTTTTTTTAAAACAGTAAGTCTTGATTTCTTCAAATAAATTTTTGTAAAGATGGTGTTTATAATACTGGCATTTCTACGAATTTGGGAAAGATTGATAGTTCAATTGTTTTGATGTTTAGGAAAGTTTCGGACTTACCCTAGCTTTTTTTCAAGAAATCGGTTCACATTTATTTTTATAAGGTTCAAATGTCGAATTGGAATGGACAGCCATTACTGGAATATCTAAGCAGCCGTACCATTGACCAACTAGATAAACTGTATTCATCTCCTGCGGTATCGTTTGCTATTTTTCGACTCTTGCCAGAACTTTCACAGCAGCTTATCCTGAGAGCGCTGTGGCTAGGTGGTACTGAAAAGAAATGGTAAGTTTTTGAAATTTGAAGAGTGTTGAGGGTAGTTCATGTTTATTACTGGTGTGTCGATGAAGTGTAACTGCATCATGTAACTTCTAATGCACGTAAATTGCGTTCAGCAGTAACTGTCCATGGTTCTTTGGAATTGTCAATTCCTATTTGGAAACTGTCGCTTTCGTTTATTTTTCAATGATGACTAACTTCATCCAATTTTTGCTTGAAGCTTAAAAGCTTAAACGGTATTCATTTTCTCCTATGAAGTTTAGACTAGTTTATTCTAACTTGAGACAAAAAAGAAAAAGAGAGGTTTCTACGGCAAAATGGAATGAATGGTGAGCCGTCCTTATATTAAAATCTTTTGAGGTTTTATTTTTGCACCTTGATATTCCGGCTGTAAATCCACAGAATCAATGAAGATGATTAACAAAGCACGAATACTGATTGCAAAATGAAAGAAGCTTACTGCTCTTTCGAGAACTGGAAACGGTTCTTTGAAGAAAGTCAGTGCAAACATTTGTTCTAAGAAATCTTACTAAACATGGCAATGCGCTGGATTCGAAACAATTCTTCGCTTGCTTCGAATTTGGTATGAACTGAAAAAGGCCGAAGTTTTGCTGTTTTAGGTAATCCCCTGACCTCTACGTGTGAATTCTTTCTCCAATGGCTCGGAAAGAAGCTTACTGCTCTTTCGAGAACTGGAAACAGTTCTTTGAAGAAAGTCAGTGCAGACGTTTGTTCTAAGAAATCTTACCAAACATGGCAATGCTCTGGATTCGAAACAATTCTTCGCTTGCTTCGAATTTGGTATGAACTGAAAAAGGCCGAAGTTTTGCTGTTTTAGGTAATCCCCTGACCTCTACGTGTGAATTCTTTCTCCAGTGATTCTGAAGTACTGAGCAAGATAAACAGTTAGTGGAATGGATCCTCGAATACAAACAAAGGCTAGTTGCAGATATCTCCGTTGCAGTGTAGTCTGCACATCTCTTGGTTCCAAAAACTGAGCTATGAAAACTACAGCTGGATCCGCTTTCAAAAGAAAGAAAAAAATATTCAGTGAAGCTATGTGTTTGGATGTACAATATGTTAATAGTAATACAATAATGGGCTCCCCACTTTCTTATACCGTAATGAAATAATCGCCGCTCTTTTTAGTGATTGGCGTGCATGGGCAGTCCCAGATTTCGAGACAGCAATAACGAATCATATCGATGGATTGAGGAAACTGAAGATAATTATTGGAGATGAAGAAGTCATGATTAATGTGCGTTTAGCTCTTCATATTTTTGTTGCTGCAGTCGATTGATGGAGAAAAGTGCATATTTGAAAAATCGGTTTTTAAAACTTATTAAATTATCGTAAATATATTTTATGAATCTTATTCATTTTAGTTTCTGTCACTACAAATTTTATAGTCGCATCTATTGAAAGATGATAGCTTGACTGCTGAATTTCTTTTATGAAATCAACTATCAAGTAAAGTTTGCATTCTTGCCATAAATAGAATATTTAATCTATCAAATGGCCAGCCATCTTTTCTAGTGATTCTGTTGATGAATTTGGTGTTTGTTTTTCCAGCCTGCATATCGTCGTGCATATCTTAAAGCAACTCGTATTGGATTATGCAAAGCATCAGAGCTCAGTGTAGTTACAGACTGCGATGAAAAAACTCGAAAATCGGCAAATAAAGATCTTGGAAAGAAAGCGATTGAAAGATGGGAATGCATATTGCATTATTTGGCTTTACCGTCACAAAAGAGCGAACAAGGTGTCAGTGGAACCACTAAAATGCTTTTTAGGTCTGCGGGTCTAACTAGCAGTGAAAATGGTCAATTCTTTCCTCTGTTTTCAAGTTTCATGTCAGAAATTATGGCTATAGTTATGAATGAAATTATATGTGATGAGAATCTGCACATGGAGAACAGTTCTTTTGCTGTAACGGGCATTCTGTACATTGCGTATCTTTTGTGAGATCTGCTACAAAAAATAGTGGGAGATGGAAATGAATGAAAACGGGCAGTAGGTTCATCCAAATCTCGTCCAAGCAATGATAGACAGAACAGTACCAGGAATATATCAAGAAATCAGTTAAGGTTTTTAATAAATTTTAATGTTCTGCTTTAGATGACGGTGATATAGAGATAACATCGGCCGGTTTCCAATTTCTGTTGTTGAACCGTTCGGAGCAAATTTGGACCTACCTCTTGCACTATTTTCATATGCAAGAAGTAGCTGGTGTCGATATTATCAAGGAACTTGATTTTTTATTCAGGCACTTTCTTAATTGTTCGGTTGCTATACTCTAAATTTTTTTAGGTTTCATTAAACAAATTTCTGTTCTATTTAATGTTTCTTTGGTTTCGAGTACAATTAATAACTGGTATATTTAGATTAACACTATATTCCGGTAATACATCTGGTGGTACTAGAGTGGCCAATGGGTCAGATAAAGAACGACCTGCCGGTAGTCGGGCATTTCTTATCGATGAAAGTTGGCCTGAACCTATCAAGGATTTTCTGGTGCACCTCAGGGAATTGGGATTGGTTTTTATAAGGAAGCGAAAAGACGGGTAAATTTGCGATCATGCTTGAAGTTCTATTTTTCTGGAACTATGTGAAAAGTACCGTTTGAATTAATCCGAATGGTTTCATAAGATTTCTGTCACTAATTATTCTTTGCAGGTTTTTCTTTCTAACTCCTTTACTCAATCATTTGACCAATATTTCCTATACATCTGAAACATGCATAGAAAACCGTAATCAAAACGGCTTTGTGATAGTGGAGACAAACTATCGTGTTTATGCATACACAGATTCAACCTTGCAACTTGCAATACTTTCGACATTTACAGAAATGCTTTACAGGTTTTTTTTCTAGAAATTAATAGTATTCTTGTAGGTAGTTTTTTCATAATGCAAACGCATATTTTTTGTTTTTCTGTTTTCAGATTCAACGATATGTCCGTGGGTGTGCTGTCTCGGGAGGCTGTAAGAAGAGCTTTTCAGGTATTTCTATTGTGTCATCGTAGTTTGCTTGACTCCATGAATTTGTCGAAAGATCTACGTTTTATTTTGCAAGAATAGAGCAGTTGATATTAATTTGTAGTATAAGTGTTTGATTTAGATGGAAGAGATATAATATTTTATAGGTTGGTATAACAGCAGCACAAATTATATCATTTCTGCGTGCAAATGCTCATCCAACAACTTATGCTGCAACAGCTGAATGCGGAGGAGTGATACAGAGCGTGCCGATCACTGTTGCTGATCAGATACGACTTTGGGAAGATGAAAGACGACGTTTGGTATTCTGCAATGCTGCTGTTTATTCGTCATTTGAATCTGAAAAGGAATATTTCGGTTTGAAAGCTTACGTCAATTCTCAAGGTTGCTTACGAAAGTTTTGGAAGTTATTTACCTGACTTTTTCGCATATTGTTTTTTGCATAAATAGAAATTTTTATTAGTTTTGGATTCATTCCTAGTCTAAACACATTCTATTCCATGAACGCTCTTTTTCATGCAATATATCGGGCGTCTTCTTAGTCGTTTGAATTTGTCTTTAGGTATCTTAATGTGGAGTGATGATGCGCAGAAGTTGCTAGTTATTACAGAAGAAGGACATGAAAGTGTGAAAGTATGGTGGAAAATGAAAACTGGTAAGAATGGTTCTTAAATTGAGTTTTCATTGTTTTTATGATTGCATGATATTACCAGGATGTATGATTGGTGCCGTATTATTTAGCATAATTTATTTCTCTGTTCTTATGCTTGAAAATTCTGATATCAGATTTCTCATCTGAATCCTTAATATCGCATTCGTAATGTTCATGTGTGCTTAACTGAGTTTAAAAAATTTTTTGTTCCATTTTTTTTTCAGCTCGCTACTAAGAGCATTATAACCATGTTACTAAAAATCTTTTAGCTGTTTGTTGTTTTATTTGCCAATGTCAATGAGTAAGCAGTCTTAGTCCTTTAAACATTTGGAATTTAAGGTTCGCTCATAATATATTAACTACCGATTCGTTCGTGGATTTCATTTGGATGTGTATCTTGAGCAGATTTCTCTTTTATCATAAGATGCAAAAATTTGCCAGGGTGTAGTGTTGAAAATTATGGCATTTTGCGGAGATTCCATGAAAATTGAAGTCTCCCTTTTCACAGGAACAATAGATTAACGCATTGTATGATAAATGGTAGATTTTTTGAATGAGAAATTGTGATTACTTTGTTTATAAGACGTCGCGAATGTGCGAAATGATTCTAATCTGAAGATTAGAGAGGTGATACTGAAGTAGTGATTTGTGTATATTTTTCTACTTGCTTCAACAGATTAGGTGTTTCGATTATTGTTTCCAGCTGAATTTTTCTTTAATGTATTGTCATGTTTTTATTTTGTCATTGTGAAATTTGATAATGTTTTTACTTTTTACTTTGATAATGTTTGCAGATATATATTTTTTTGCTTTTATATTTTGTATGCTAGCTTTTAAGTTATTTCATTTCTTCAACCAGATTGTGTTATGTGTCTTTTCGTTGACACTTATCGTCTACTTTCTCATTTTTTAAAATTTCGTTTTGTTTTTGCATGATATCAGTTGTTCTAGTTTTGATCTCAATGCTCAATGAACTTTCTGCATACATTGCCACTCAGGAAATCTAATCTGTATGTCATGTATTACAGACTTCACTACTGATAACATGAAATGAAGCTGCTGTAAAAATTCGAATTTGAAGGAACGTTATTTGATCTGTATTCTCAGCACAAGTGAAATGCTTATTCTTATTTCAAAATTTGAAAACAAACCGAATTAATCATAAAATCCAATTAAGATATCATGTTTGGACGATGACGAGAAATCTTAGATGGCATTTAACTACAAAATTCTGCTTTAACGTTAATTTTCATTAGTCTCATCTTTCACTTCAATTCAGTTCATTTTCATCATGCCCAACAAGTCACGTCTGATTATAAACGAAATCGCCGCAAGCCTAAATAATAATTATCGTCCAATTGATATGTCTTGAAGTGAGCAGTTTAATTCCATCCGACAAAAGCACTTGTAGAAAAATTTAATTGTTTATGGAAAATGGAGACAACATACGATAATTTTTTGCAATTATACATAATTTTCCATGAGCATAATAATTTTCACGACGAAGTGGTTAAGCAGCAGATCTGGAAGTTTTCAGGGCAACCAATAAATAAACATATAATTTCTTCCCGCGACAAAAGAGGTTTTGTAGGGCTATAGGATATTTTCTGAAGTATGGAAACATCAAGTACTATTGCTTTTATTATTTTATCAAATCTTGGTAATTTCAAGTTTCTGCTTTATACTGCTTAACCACCCGCTCTTTGGTTCTATTTACTTTCGTATAATTCATGGTGTTGCTAGTCTTACTTCTGGTCTCGCTACTGATAATTATGAAACTGTGATCAAATTTCAGATTATACGAAATAAATAGAGGAGTTTGAACATCACTTAATATTCACTTCACATTTTATATCAGAATTTGCCTGATATTGAATCATGCATCATACTATTCATTATCCATTTCTTATTACTCACCATTGTGTCCTCTCCACTATAATGTTTTTTTTTTTTGGATTTTAAATAACCCATCGAATGGAGAAGAAAAATTCGGCAAGAGATGTTTGGGATCAGCCTTTTTAGGGAAACATGTTTTGTGCACTGTCGAAATTGCAGAACAATTCAAAAAACTCCAATTTCTTTTACGTCTTTTCGAAAGATTTTTTTTAACAATTTAAGGAATTGATAAATATAGAGAGAAACTTCATTAAATCACGACATTAATAAATGACATCCAATAAAATTTATGGAAAAAAAATATCAATTTCATTCTTCAAGAAATTATGACCCGAATAATCTAATACCCAAAAATTTGCATTGTCACAGTAGATCTGAGGTCGTTGTTGAAACCAGTGTCAATCTTTGACACACTAACCTATCTCTAACTTCGAATTGCATACGCTAATTTTCTGTTGCAATATTATGATTTAACCAGCTGTCAACAGAAGGATGTAAGTTGTAATGATCAAATTCAAACAATGAGTCGAAGGGACTTATAAGAAATGAAAGTTCGGTTCTTTACCTTTGCTATATTTAATTATGCCTTCTGCATGCCGCTATTTTAAACTCTCTCGTTCGATCTTTTGAAATCTTAAAAAATGGGAAAAAAATCCTATTTGTTGATGTCCTTTGTCCTCCCGGTCCTGTCGACAAAATTTCGGAGTACTACTCTGTCCATTTTTCGCTTTCCTGCCTTGCAACTGCTTTTCTCCTATTCGTTAAAAAAAAAAACAATCCCTTTCTTCATAAATGAATTCTTTCTTACTTCTGTTCTTCGTGTATTATTCAACTACAAGGTTTTAATTATCTATTATCAGTAAAAGTGTAATCGTTTAGAGGAGAAAGTCTGAACATTATCAAAGGGAGAGAACAGATGTATGGGAAGGTCACAATTTCATGTATGAATCCAATTCAATCAAAATTTATGTTATAAAGGGTAAAATTTAATGGTCGTGATCAGAATAAATAACAGCAGTCATAGGAGTAACAACTGAATCTATAAATGTTGGAGCAACACGTCAAGGAAATGAATGCCAATGAAAAAGACAAAAGTGCTTTACCAGAAGGCAATCTTAACTTAAAATATACAATTCGGTTTCCGTAGAGAAATGGACAAAGTAATCATTCCAAAAGAAATAGAACCACTGAAACCACTGAATTCTCATGTCTCTTCTTTTCGATGCTCATAAAACATGTCATTAACCTTTTGTCTGCGAACTCATTTCACTAACCCAATGTGAAAGTTTTAAGTTATAACCTAAAAGATGTTATGGTATAGTCTTGTTCTGAAGATGATGTGGAAAAATCTTTAAAATACTTCAAAATGTAGAACGAATTTGCACAAGAGAGGATTGTATTAAAAAAGGAAAAACAATACTGAAGGTTTAATTCCTTTTCCGATTTGAAAAGGAGGTAATTCCATCCAAAACGAATGTAAACAATAGATCCAATACAATTAGTGAAATAAAGTCAATCCGGAAAAAAACCCTTCTCTTTTCCATGCTATTCAGAACGCCAATAATCAAGAACGGACTACGCCTAACAATTAGCCTAACAACTGCGTGATCTATATGACTTTTACTTCTTTAGCAATTACGAACTGCCCGTTTAAATAAGAAAAAAATCCCATGCCACATTTTAAATTTTAAATCGACGCCTTTAATTACTAGCAGAATTTTTGCCAAAGCAAACGAACTGTAAAGAGATGGAATCCAAACAAACAGCATCTGTTCAGTATATCGACTTCATTCGAAACACTGCTTCCATTCACTGACTTAATTATTATCCAAGCTCAACTGTGTTATAACACAAGTTACAAAGATCAAAATAAGGTTAGATCGCCCTAGTGAGACACCAGTGGTATGGAATGGGCTCAGTACCTCATAGTCAGATCCTTCTAGACCATTTCAATTGGCTCAGACAGCATTTAAATTTAAGTCTCAGGCGTCTATCATTGCTTCCTTAATTTTAGGAATCTTAAGTACAATATGTGATAAATTGTCACAACCCTTATCTCCATTTATTACATCTCAAGATGAGCCCATTGTGGTCAATATATGGCTAAACATTCCTAATAAAAAATCCAAAATGAAGCATTCATCCCAAGTTCTATTCGAATTTACTCCCAATACCAACTAATTTCTTCATACTACCACTATTATTATTCGACAAGAAATTTCCCATTTCATTTTCCTTGCTTACAACTATTCCATCTTTGTTCAAATCAGTACTGATGGAAGACTAATTTGAACATATGTTATGCAGGGGCACATCTCGGAGGCACAATTTCAAATTTGCTAGTAATTAAATCTGCAATTTTTTGCGAAATTTCTCACGGAGGCCAGAATTTCTCGATATGCCGTCGAAAGTACTTAATTTTTCGCTACTGGTTTCCATTGATTGATTTGTTGTTTCGTCTGCGATTTTATAATTTCATACACCAATCACGATTGCACGGAGGAAATTCGACTGCCAGCAACGTTCTCGTTTTTTTTTCATGGATACAGGAGATGAAAGAAGGTAAAGTGTGCTGGAATAATTGATTGAATCACGGTAGCGAATAGAAGGCATTTTCACAAGGTCATCGATTTGAAGTTACATAACGAATTTTAGTTGAAAAGAAAGATGCAAGAGAATTTCACTACAGAAAATTGAATATAAAGAAGTTTATTTAATTTAAATTAGAATGAATTTTCACGAACAACTGAATCACTTGACATCTTTTGCTGTCATATTTTCCTCATTTGCTATCACAAGATTAATTTCCGTTTTCTTTTTCCTGTTTTAACATATGCGATAAAGTAAAGTAGCATCTCTTCACACTGACTAAAGGATTTTAAATAAGCCGCTTGAATATAAAAAACTTACTCTTAAGAAGTTCTAGTGAAGTTTTCGAGTTTAAATAATAAAAAATAAATCATAATTTGCGCTTGGATGTTTTTCAAAATGAAATGGATTAATTGCCGGTAAACTTTACAACTGTGAGAAGTGGCGGTAGATGTTTTCACTGTTAGTTTACTGGCTAGTTTGACGCATTGTTCACTTAATCATCTATGCATGAAAGTAGTGAGCCTCTAAAAAA